AAAAAAAAAAAAAGGGGGGGGGGGGGGGGGGGGGGAAAGGCAAAAAAAAAAAAAAAAAAAGCAAAAGCAAAGCAAATTCCTTGGCAAATCAAAGCGAAATGCTTGCGGAGCGAGCGCATGGCCTTGCAGCCAGCCAGCCGTCTTGATAAGGGGCTCCGGGGAGGAGGAGGAGGAGGAGGAGGCGAGATGATGCCGGGAACCCGCCAGCAGTTGCGCTTCGTTGCAGGACACCCATCAGATTTCCCACCGCCGGGAGACGGGACGGAGAGCCGGCGTGCCTCGGTTTCCCCACCCTGTGCATGCCTAGATGAGGGGGGGGAAAGGGGTTAAAACCGGGCCGGGAAAACGCCTTGGAGGGGTTAAACGGGGCGATTTTCTGCCGGGTTTTATCCAAAACATATGTTTTTGCCACTATTCGAGTTATCTGGGATATTTCCTGCGTGTTTGCTCCTATGGCAACCGGCCCAGCATGAAAGACCTATTTACTGGGCCCGGGGATAAGGAACGGCCATATGGTGTCAATTTTGAAGGCGCTCCATCCCCTCCGCCTGTCTCCGGTTCTCCCTCCGCCACGGGCTTGGCTCCTTGAGGGGTGTCCACCACAAGCCGGGTCCAGCCGGGGTCGGGGATGGGAGCTGGGGGCAAGGTGAGGTGGTGGGTTGGGTTTGGGGAGCTCAGAGAAGGTGGAGATGGGCTGCAGCAGCGGTCTGAGATCCTTCAGGAAATAGGAATGGAGAGAAGGTACCTGCAGGATCAATCTGAGGTCCTTCAGGAGACAGGGATGGAGACAAGATACCTACACCACCAGTCTGAGGTCCTTCAGGAGATAGGAATGGAGAGGAGGTACCTGCAGCAGCAATCTGAGGTCCTTCAGGGAGGTAGGGATGGAGACAAGATACCTACGCCACCAGTCTGAGGTCCTTCAGGAGGGTAGGGATGGGGAGAAGGTACCTACAACATCAGACTGAAGGCAACTGGGGAGACAGGGATGGAGACAAGATACCTGGAGCATTGATCTAGGATCCATCAGGAAGATAGGGATGGAGACAAGCAACCTACAACGTTGGTTTGAGGTCTAACCAAGACACTGGGCTGGAGATGGGGTTGGAGATGAACTAAACATGGCATAGGTCTGAGGTCCAACCAGGAGATAAGGTTGAGGACAAGCTACCTGCACCATCAGCCTGAGGTCCATCCAGAAGACATGGTTGGAGACAACCGACAGTGAGGCTCAGCTCAGGTCTGGCTTGGGGCAGAAGGATGCTGAGGAGGTCCTAGGGACCATGAAGACCTCTTATCACCCCCAGAACCTACCAAGGGGGTGCAGTGAGGTCTGTCCCACCCCCAGAAGGTCCAGGCTCCTCTTGGAGGTAACCCCAATGCCCTGAGAAACCCAAACGGCACGGCGCCGTTCTTTGCTCCGTCCTAAAGATCGGGGCAATCTTTGGACCCGGCACCAGAGCAGCTCCACGGGGTGAAATGACCAAAATACAGGAAAATGGGGCAAAAATGTCCTCTAGTCTACTGTGAAAAAAAAAAAAATTAAAGAAAAAAGAGTATTTTCTAATAATTCTAATTTTTTTTTTTTTTGTCGTCGCTGGGCGTTTGCTGCAGGGAGAGATGATAAAGCCAGGCAAGACCAGGCACGGCGCAGGCCGGGGGATTTTGGGAATGATTCACTCCCAAAGCCTCCCACAGAGGTATTTCTGATTTAAAAAAAAAAAAAGGCAAAATAGATGACTTTTTTTAATTTTTTGTAAAGAAAAAAAAAGTTTTACAGAAGTGACCCTTCCCACCAGCTTTGCCATTTTGCTTTTGAATAAGAAAAAAAAAAAAAGGCTTTCAGCCAAAATAAACCTTCTCTATGAAAACGTGTGTTTGGGTCAAAAAGCCACTTTTCGCTGGGGGAAAAATAAACCACCAAAAAAAAAAAAAAAAACCTGTCCAGCCCCTGAAGTGATGGGTTGGCAAAGCTCCCGGGGGGCACGGCTTTCCTTC